AGTGCTATCAGTCCAACCCCATTATCCTTTGATCCACGCTCCATCTCTCTCTATCTCTCGTTCGCTCTCTCTCTCTCTCTTTCTCGCTCTATATTTCCTTCTTTCTCTATTCTCTGTTCTATGTAACAAACAGACAGAGCTGTTCTCGCTGATTGCCCAACCCTGTATTTAAACAGGCCTCAACTCCCGCGAGTAGAGCATTTTCTGCGGTGTTTAACCTTTTCCTCTCTTCTCCCTCTTTTCTCTCTGTCGTCCTTCATTTTCGCACTCACTCTGTCTCTCTCTCTCTCTCTCTCACTCACTCACTCACTCCCTCTAATTTCAGTTGCAAACATCACTTTTCTGTGTATTCGGAAAAAGGGTGAGCTAATAAAGGATAAAAGAGGGAGAACATAGTAACCTACGTAAGAAAAAGAAAAGTATGGGAACTGATTTGCTACTGTTGGAGTTACTAGGGAGTTGAGTGTTTGTCCCAGAATTTTTCTCCGTCCGTTTCGAATTCATCCTCTCCTTCCAACTCCCATCCCCAAATATCTCGGCACCTCACATTTCTTTCATTCATACAATTTTAATCCATCTCTCTCTCTCTCTCTCTTTCTCTCTCTCTCTCTCTCTCTCTCTCTCTCTCTCTCTCTATGTATATGTATATATACTCATCGGTTCATGTGAATTGGATATATTCGCTATATTAAATATAAAGAATATCGAGTGTTATGAAAATATATGGCTATATAATATAATTTCACGTAATATCTTATTTCTATATAATATAATATATAATTTAAGTCTTTGTTAAAAAAAATTTGTATACATTAATTGTCATATCGTATGTTATCTTTTCCACATTGTACTGTATTGTTTAAGAATCAATAAATAATGTGACATATCTTAAAACAATTTTATTGGAACCAATTTTATTTTCTATTATTTATATAATATATATTTCTTTTTGTAAAATATTCTTTTTGTGAAATGAATTATTAAAATCTTTCAAATTTATAATAATTACTAATAGAGATAATTGCTTATTTTACTCACTTTTTGTATTCTAAAATAGAAATTTTATCATTTCGTCATCCTTATTACTATCAGCGCATATAATATATATATATATATATATATATATATATATATAATAACATACACTTGTATGTTATTTTGAAATTCTTTCCGATAGTACAATCGGATTAATAAATATTTCAGACAAGGTACTTTTTTAATTATTTGACGATACGTAAATAAACTTGTGCCAATTTTATCGCCAATAAAATATAAAAAGGATTTGCTTTAAACTTTCTTCTGTCTCATCTGAAGGCATGTGGTCGGAAGTAAAGTAAGGCTATTTTATCATAACGTGCACACGTGCCGAATCACACATGCACGAAGCGCTAATAGATATACGCACCTCGAGTATTACTAACTACGCGGTAAAAAGAAAGTTGCAAATTTCACTAATTTCATATCGCGGACTTATGTTTTTAGCTGTTTCAGGAACTACCGAACGACTGCCTATTAATCTTAAGATAGAGATATTATTTTAATTCTAATTAAGAGACACCAAGTAATTTCATTAATAACATCATATCCTTAAATTACAAATCCTAAAAAATTAACGATTTATTCATATAGTTATTTCATTAATACTTCACTTCAGTACAAAAAGCATTTTAGTTTGTTAGCATTGTACGAGCAATTTTGTTTACAGTGCTCTTTAGAATTTTGTGTCAGAATAGAATCGAAAAACCTTTTAGGGTACAAAAATTATCACGCCGATCCGAGGCGAATTCGACACTTAAAAATTGATGGTAAAGGATTAAGCGCGACGAACGCAACTAATAGTTTTCAAATTGTATGTACATTCCACACGAAGATTCGTCGATGATTCCCGTGAGTATCGTTTACATGGGCCAAACTAACTGAGAATAAAAGAGAGGGTTGTCCCCCACCCCGAGAAAATCGAGGCTAATTGCGATTTCCGTTTGGACGAGTAGCGATCTCTAAGCAAGCATGTAGAAGTCCTTCAGTAAATAGTACTCGAGAGAGGATCAAAGTCCAAAGAACCAAAGACACTTTCATTTGTTGGCCTTAACTATTTAAAATATAAGCAACAATAGAATATACACTGGAATTCAATTTGTAAGCTTCGTCGATACTTCCTTTTATTTCTTATGCAATTAACATTGCAGCCAGTTCTGACATTATTTATGCAAATAGATTACAAAGATAAGGAGATCTTTGACAATTGAAGGAATGTAGAAATGTAGAAATTTAAATGATGAAAAGAAATGAACTACTTAGTGATGCCTAATTTAGATGTAAGCAAAAAAAAAAACGACATAAGTTATAAATGTATACAGTGGATAAAGTAAAAGATAGGAAATTTTTTATTATTATCATATTTTTAAGAAATTATACTAAATTCAAATATATTTACTTTATAAGTATTAATACGTGATATAATAAAAGAAAAGTACGAAACAAGCATTTTACATGTTAATGTGTAAATTACACTCGTTACACGAATAGTGAAATATATTTATACATCTAAAAGAGAAGGAATCGAGAATGAAGATCGATCGTTTCCCTCCCAACGAACTTATTGACAATTGCAACGGGTTTTCCATATATATATATATATATGCACATATATGTATGTATGTATGTACGTATACGAATACGTATGTATATATGTGTATATGATATATATGATATGATACGTACGTATGTATGTATGTATGAATGTATATAATCAGACACTCGGCACGCGTGTGCAGGCACTTCTCCTTTATGTTTTTCGCGACGATTACACGAGGACGCGCGCGAGTTCACCTCGGCAACTACGCGAGTTCGATCCGAGTGTAACGGGCCGTTGTCTTCGGTATGCGGGTCCTCGGGGCGAGGAGGTGTGGAGGGAGGTCGTGGCGAGTCTTGGTTCGAGAGCGAAACGAGTGGTGATACTTGGGTGTATAGGGACTCCGAGGCGAAAGCCAGAAATTTCCTCTTCTAAGAGGGATAAAGGATTCTCTTACCGCTACCCTCAGACATTGGCCTATGTATTTCGTAATCAGGGGAATCTTCTTTTCGTTAAATGAAGATACATAATCAATAAATGCTTATTTTCATTTACATAAGACTTTGATGTATAGTTTAATGCGAAATAGTTATGACGCTTAGATTTTCCTTCACTGGAGTATCGAATTTAAGGATTACGTTAATTTAAGGAAGTCGTGAACTCGATTTGAGGCCTGAAACTAAAATATATCTTATGTGCGTGTATTCTGTTTGTCTAATTATTAATACTTTCGATACTTTTTCATTCCTAAAAAAATGTCATGCCGTTTTATTTTTAAAAATATGCAAAACGTAACGATAACCATGTGCGTGTAAACGTACATGCTTCTTTCATAAAATATATGAGACATTTTAAAAGTACATAAGAATGGTTTAAAGCTGGTAAATTATTGGTAAGAACCAGTAGCCTATGACCATGTCCGGTTTTAATTCTCCTAGTAAGAATTATCGTTGTATTCTTGTAAGCATTAAAAGTTGTATGTCTACTAAAAATGCAAAAAACGTATAGCTGAAATATTATGGTTATAATGTAAAATGTATATTTTAATATACGTTAGCATAATTATGTTGCCTATACATAAAACTATTTTCCCAATCGCATCAAAAAAAAATGAAAGAATAGTAATGATATAAATATTTTTTTGCCAACTTTTACCATTCGAAAGTTTAAATTATTTAATCCATTACATTAATACAACGAATCCATGTGGATGTTAATACAAACTATTCATTGCCAATTTGAAGTTTTTTTTTTATGTAGTATTTATTAAATAAATAGAAGTTATTTTTACCCACAATATCAGTATTCAATTATAATACAACATCAATATTAATTTTTAATGTATTAATGATATATCTATGAAACAAATATTAATAAGATTTCCCAACTTGTGCATTGTCGTTAAATTGAAAAAATAATATGCTCTTAGTATAACGAATATTTAAATTTTTACTATTTTTGTATTTTTTGATTACATAAACAAATTATAAAAAATAATAACAATAATAATAATAAATATTGTACGAGAAAAGATTTTATAACAAATATAGTATTAATAAAAAATTAAATAACTATATTTATCCATAATCGATATATAGATTAATTTGGGATGATTTCTTACTACTTTTTACTAATTGCTATTTTCTAATATTTTATTGCAGTGCCGCGTAATTCAAGTGCAAAAAGAAATTCTAGGGTAAGGTGGATTTGATTAATAAAAAAATTCGTAACAGATAAGTATTCATTATCGAAACTTTCACTAATTATTGTTGGCACAGCATAAAACACAACGATAAGTAATATCAATTATTTGACATAAATGTAGTTGGAAATGCACTGTTCACAGAACATAACGGTAATGAAAGATTAAACGGGTAATAAATTTTTAATATATCGTCGATAAATTTACGATAATAACAAGCGAGATTAATGCAAGAACGTATTTAAGCATTATACATTAATAGGGCATATTATCTCATGGCTTTACTATTACGAATGAGTAATAATAATTAATAATTAATAATAATAATAATTAATAATAATAATTAATAATAAGGAGAAATTTCTTGTAAATATTGTACGCGGTATGGAGTAGCGTGACAATAAAACTACCGATATTTACTCGAATCCCCGGATTATCCCCATATTGGAATCTCAAAAATAATCCAGAAACTTGCGCTCGCGAAATGATATCGAAATGGGTTCGTCGAGGGCAAGATGGACCTCGGCCAGTGGTAATAAGAGGAAACGTCGGATGTCCGCTATCGTGAACGCCTCGGGAAAGGCCAACCGTCTTCCGGGCCATCAAGCCGGAGCGGGAAAAGTTGGGGGTGGGCAACCCTTCGGGCGCGCTCCCATTGGTCGAGCGGCGCCACTCCCCGGGGGCGGAGTTCTCAGAGTCGGAGGAAACGCGCTACGGCGGCGGCGACGCGACCGACAGTTGGACGCGCGACTTCGTGTCGTTCGTACGCACGTACGCACGGACGTATGTACGCACGCACGCACGTACGCACGCACGCACGCCCGAACGAGAGTTAGATCAGGCCGGTTCCTCGGGCCACACGTGTTTCCGCACGGTTGTGACAGTTTTGGATCTCAAGTGCTCATGCGGATGCTGAGACATTCGCCGAGGTGCTTACGCAACAGAATCGACGACCATTGTCACGGAGACATTCGACTATGGTTGTGTTGTGAGTATTATTATGCTCATCAATTACGCTAATTTGTCATTTCTTAGATATTATATAGCACTTGAGCTACTTGCGATATGTCTACTTTCTGTTACTCACTTTATTTTCAATATATTTATTTCTCTTTTTTTTTCTTTTTTTTTTTACTTTAAAATTAAGCATATTTTCATATTTATTGTATTAAACATTAACCGTAATGTCAGTATTATCTAATCTATCTAAGTATCTAATATGACAAAATTTTTGGCGACTAGTTAAAAAATATTTTTAACAATTTACTCGTATTATTCGCATTAGTACAACACTTTTTACTATGAATTCATTCAATTTATATCGAATCCAGCACTTAATAAATGGATGAATATGTCTCGTGAAAGAATAATAAAAAATCAACTCTTTCGTCATAGTTATAAGTAATAATTATATGATTTGTAATAAAACTCAAACCGGTAGTTTTAATTTCCATAACAAATTTTTGTTACATTACAAAAAGAATTTTAATGTACCTTGATATCGCGTCACCTATGTATAAAACTAATACAAATTGAACTAACTCAAAGTTGTATATAGTATATTAAAAAGTGATTTAAGGGAAGCTTTTTTAGGGAGATAAGAAGATAATAAATATATTTAATAAAATTTAGATTTTTCTAATAATAAGGTAGGTAGGTAGGTAGGTAGGTAGGTAGGTAGGTAGGAATGATTTAAAGCAATGTTTACATAATTTTCGTCGAAGAAGTTTATGGACCGACATGAATTTTTTTCCCTTTCGTGCACCGATCCTTACTGACTCAAGAGCCTAGTCAAAGTAAATAAGGTGTTAAACAGGAAAGAAGGGTGGAAATCGAAGTCACTCGGTAGTATGCGCATCTATCTAATCAGTGGGCGTGCGCGGGCCTCACGCTCATTGGCACGTGGGCGTCATCGCACTCGACACCCATTGGCCCGCATCACTTGATCCGCGATTGGATCGTCTCTCTCTCTCTCTCTCTCTCTCTCGGTCTGTCTCTCTCTCCCTCTCTCAGACATACACTCTCACTCTCCCTGTCTCTCGGTCACTCTTTTTCTCTCTCGCTCTCTCTTTCACTCTCTTTCTCTCTCTCTCTCTCTCTCTCTCTCTCTATCTCTTTTTCTCTCTCTCTCTATCTCTTTCTCTCTCTCCCTCCCCCCCTCTCTCTATCACTCCCTCTTCTAATCTGGGCCACGGTGACGCCATCTTCGATCGAGAAGAGCAACGATGTGATTTAGGACGCGTGCTACAAGACCACGTCGACCTAAATCAGGATTACGAAGTCGCGGGCGCGAGATTCTTTTCCGGCGTAAATCATGCGATTTTTTTGGCCGCTGAAAGCTCCGCCACAGAGATATTGTGCACGTGGACGTGTATAGCGCTTTGCTCGAGCACTTAATCTTATTTTAACACTGAATCGCTCGAGTACTACTACGAGCCCGTGAATAATTGCATCTACGGCTTTGTCGAGCGCCATTCACACGCTGGAATTTTACATTGATTAGTAATAATTCAAGACTCTCTCAATTCAAGAGTCTCTCCTACAAATTAACTTACCCGCCAAGCATATTCCAGACAATCTAAGGAATATCATTTGTTGAATAATTTGAATGGTAAATGCTCACCTCACCTAGGGGAATTAAGTTTATATCTTTTTCCATTTAAAAACGATTTTATTACAAATGTGAAGAGGTTGAAATAAATTCGATCGCTTATTTGCAGACAAAGATTATTCGATAGCCGAGCAACGTCATATTGCTCGAAAATGTATCATGTAATATGGATCAGCTCATTCTCGTACAACCCGTGAAAAACTGTTAAACGAAGTTCTCTCGCTCTGCGAAAACGATCTTCCTTATCTCGATGTCGGATCTTCAATGAGCTCGAACGACTCTCTAGAAAAGCCATCACGTCAATCTTATCTCCTTCTTTTTCTTCTCCTCTGTCTCGCTGTCTTTCCATTATAATTTTTGTTTGTTTTTATTTTTTTCTTTCGTTATTATTTTTGTTCTTGTTTTCCTTATTACTACTTCTTATCATTGCTATTTAAATTAATATCTAAAGGACTTTATTTATTGCTGGAGCATCGATAATAAGCAAAACTAACATTTCATATTTCACGTTCACCGAAATAACTTGCTTTCGATTGAAAAGTATTGATGCATTATTCTTATTTATTTATTTCATTGCTATAGCTCTAGTGTCGAAATAAACAAAAAAAGAAAAAAAGAAAAAAAGAAAAAGAATAATAAGAATATCTCCTCTTCATCGTCCTCGAATCCTAGACTCCAAGAAGACAATGTAAAACGATGATTCGTAGACTTAAAAATTTCCAAGTGTTCAATAATAAATAACTTTGCTCAGTCTTCTGAAATCACCTCCCGTGAGTCCCATTACCCCGGCACTAGCGAAATAAGAATTAGCTGACAAACGAAACTACTCGCGAAAAGGAAAAAAAATTGGCAAGTCCACTTAAGAGGCGACAGCGGTATGTCGGGAGCGACGGGCATTAATTACCGGACCCAGGCGTCGCGTGCACTTTCTCGTTTACACAGCCACCGACGGAAGCGGGAGCAGCAGCAGCAGCAACAACAACATCAGTATTAGTAACAGCCCCCACGCAATACAATCTCAGCCTCGCGGCTTCTGTGCAACGTCCGCCTCCTTGCCTCGGGCCGAGATCTCCGATAATATCTTCCGCTTACGGCCAATCTCCTCGATCTTCAATATTTACCTCTCAATTACAAGTTACGCCAAAATCGAACTTACCTAATCGAGAGCAAACCTGACGGACCAAGGCCTTCAATTTTTTCTACCTTTGAATATTTTCTAGCGTGACGACGATAGATTTTACTTTTTACATTTCTCACACCCTCGACTTCTACTTTAACGACCATTTGTACTTCCTACTTTGTATGATTAAAAAGAGTCGATCGACTCGCTGGATGTGAGCTTGTAAACGAAGTTTTCAAAATGATCTAATTTTCACGACGACTTTGACAAATTTTATGTAATAGGAAGTTTAAGATCGATTGTAAAATGAAAATTTAAGCATGAAGCATAGCGCGATTATACGTTACATTCGAAAGATAATTTGTATATAATTTACAATTAAATATGTATAGCGATGCTATGCTATTAATATTATCGTGGAAGTCAATTGGATGAAAATATGAGTTGCGAATTAATTAGCAATCAACGTGTCAAAAATTAACGACACGCAAATGGTTAGAAAAACAAAAAGGATAAAGAAAATCAAGAAACAGGAGAAATGAAACATAAGAGAAAGATGGATAAACGAAAGAATGAAGTTGATATAACGGGCATCTCTTGTATGCATCCCAAGGAAACTGGTTGCTTTTACAGATACTAAATGCAAGATATCCCTGCGAAGTAAATGAAGCAAAAGCAAGAGAAATACAGGTTAAAAAAAAACAGAGAGAGAGAGAGAGAGAGAGAGAGAGAGAGAGAGAGAGAAGCACTGAAAAGATAAGAATTATAAAGTCACGGGTATAGGTTAGAAGTAAGGGCTCAGAAATTCTGTAGATAAAAGAAACAAAATATCTTCGGAGGATACACGTGTTTTCAAACTGCGTTCGACTTCGCTCTTCTTGCAATAAATTGCACCGCGATTTTTTCTTCCCCACGATATAATTGTAAATTTAACATCTGAACTTCTTAAATCACTGTACACTACGTACAGTACGTTTGTTTTCATTTTCATCATTCTGTTAGTCACATAGTCACATTCATAACGTCTTATTTCTCTGCGTGATAATTAATTTTAAAGCCTGTATTAATTTATATTGGCTAAATACTTAATACTTATTTACTAAATCTTTATAAAGTATGATTCGTAATTCGAAATATGCTCGTATGTGTGCAAATACGATGTAAGGAGAAATTTAGCCGCCTTGTTGTGCATATAACTTTACATATCTTAGTTAGAAAAAGACTTTGAACATCAACATCAAATATAATGCGTGAAAGATTACATTTTGTTATAGGAGAACAACGCGATTCGTTACAAGTTACAAGCGCGAAACAGAATTCTTGACTAAGAGAGTGAGAGAAAGAGAGAGAGAGAGAGAGAGAGAGAGAGAGAGAGACAGACAGAGACAGAGACAGAGAGAGAATGGGTGGGTGGGGATGAGGGTTGGGTTGACACATTCTCATAGGATATACGTAATAATTTAAGGTGAACATGAGCGCAAATTAAATTACGCGAGCAGGCGCGAAGGGGCACGGAGATAAGCCCGCGAGGCTCAATAAAAGAAAGGCAAATTGAGAAAGTGGGAAAGACGGAGAGGAATGAAAGGTTGCGGTGGGTGAATGATTGCTCGGATCGGTGATAAAGTCATCGCCTCGAGCGCTGTATATACGACGTCCGTAAGATGATACATCGGCCGCTGATGCTAAACCAAGATTATTGCCGAGTTTGCGAGCGTTAGAAAGCATCCCCCTCACCTCCCACTATTACCCTTATTCTCGCCTCCGCACTAATTCCTCAATGTCTCCTTTAATTATGGTAAGGCTATTTACAGTAAAATATGTATCGCTATAAAAGAGAGCTCACCCGTCCTTTCGGATTTTTCGCTGAGGATGAGGTTGAATCGGTGCCAGCCGAGCCTCGTCTAGGTCCCTATGATTAATTTATTATCATCTCCTCAATTAATTTTATTTTCCATCTGGTTAAATGATATTGTGTCATTCGATAAAATTAACATGTGCGATTCTTTTTTTGAAGAATTGCTTAGACATGCTTAGAATTGTATTTTGCGCATAATTTCTGAAGACCAGTGTCGAATTGAAATTAATAGAGAAATTAACTTTTTAATGTTTTTTTTATTATTATTATTTTATTGTTTGTTAATAAACTCATACTGTTTATGCGCGACAATAGCAACTACGATGCCAAACATTTCTTAATAATGAAACTCGGCTTGATGAATGTATAATTGAAAAGTCATATTTCATTCTCCGAATTGACATTTTTCATATTCATCTATAAATTTTCCCTCTTTATTATACAAACAGTCCTTTTACACTTGATCGCTTATAATTCCAGGCAAGCAAAATACCACGAAAGTCGTATTGTACATGTGGCGAACATGCGTGCGTAAAATCATAAAATCTTAATAAATGCGCCGATGAGGCCGGTAAATCAAGGAACAAACGATGACGGTCTCGCGGAATGCATCGCTTTACCTCTCTTCTTCTCCCCGCCAGCCGACTCTCTCCCTCCCCCCGGTTCGCGCACTCTGTCTCTCTCTCTCTCTCTCTCACTCCCCCTCTCTCTCTCTCTCTCTCTCTCTCTCTCTCTCTCTCTCTCTCTCTCTCTCTCTCTCTCTCTCTCTCTCTCTCTCTCTCTCTCTCTCTCTCTCTCTCTCTCTCTCTCTCTCTCTCTCTCTCTCTGCCTCTCACATCCTTTTGCATCTATGTCTCTCTCATTCCCATCTTATTCCGTCCTACCTCCCACTCTCCGTTTAGCTCATAATCGGCTCGTCTATCTCTTGCCGTATAAGAAAAGCGTATATGTGATTCTTTACATTAGTGTATGCGTATGTCCCCTCGAGAAAGAGATTAACTTGTTCGCACGAGGTTAATCTCTCCCTCTGATCCAAATATGTTCCTTCATTTGTGTATGTATTTGTACATACGCAAGCGCGATTCTAAAGGATATACAGATATTCTTGTAATTTTTACACTATTTTTCTCGCAAGGGGGTAAAGATATTGTTGGAAGAAAATTAATTAGCTAGATAATAACCTTATAATTAATGGATTTGCGATGGATCGATCGATACAGTGACTCAAGATATGCGCTTATCGATAAGCTAACATCTCACGTAATAACTCCAAAGTATCCTACGAAATACTGACGCAATCGATCGAATCGCACAATCGCTGTCCCCGTGACATTCGTTCTCTCTCAATTAATACCAATATTTGCTATAAAATAATAATAAAGCTCCAATGAGCGAATCGTTCGTTAAACAAACATTGACAATGGGAAAATGCACGAGTCCCCGAAAAATGTTGGCGATAATCGGCAGCTCTCGCGAGAGGATCGGAGCAAATTCCAGGAAGTCCGAGAGTCCCGTCCGTCGGCCACCCACGATCAGCCATAAGTATAATGCGAGGTCCGATGCGACGTTCGCACGCCCCATAAATTGGAATTTTATCTCGATCACGAGAATAAGACGAAGGGACTCGTTGCGCAACGCTAAATTAGACTTTTCCTCTGCCGTGATTTTCGAAAGCTATAAATACAATCTCATATATACGTAGAGGTGAGCCGTTTTTTGGAATTTCGCGATTCGAGAAAAGGGAGATGGCGCGCGCGCGTGAACGAGCAGCCCAAGCCCTACACCCTAGAGCTTAATCATCGCGTAGAGACGAGAGTCTTTGATTTATCGCTCCGTTGTTTTTAAAGCAAATAAGCGCCTCGTAAGATCGTCCACGGTTTTATCAGATGCCTCGCGTTCTTTGGATTTCTTCAAATGGATCGAATCCTTTGATTACGCCCCACTCGCATTTGACCCTGAGTTACAAACGAGTCCGTGCTAAAACATATATGAGCTCAATAAGGAGAGATAGTTGATAAAGATAGGGCGAGTATACGCGATTGAGAATATTCGATGCTTACGTTGATAGGAGATTCGAGCGTATTTTCCAATTGAAATAATAAAAGATCCTTTCACCCATTCAAGGGCGTATGCGCGCTCAAATAATTGTCTTTAATTAGAATATAAAATATTTATAATTTAGCGAGTGGGCAAGCATGTGGCGCGATATATGGCGTCGGGGTTCAAGGGTGAGACTAGAGGCTCGTGTTGAGAAAACAAATGCCGCTGTTAGCGGTTGAAATAAAGCGGCTTTATTAATCACGGCGTCGACGAGGTGAAGGAGTTTAATGGCCGCGCGCGCGCGCCTTCAGTTTCCTGTGGCGCATATGATTTTCGCGCGGCGTGTACGCGTCGCCCACCGCGTGTCAATTAAATTTTGAATAATAATTTGAGCTGCGCGGTAGGCGTGTGCCTCTCATCCCCCTCGCTTCTTTGTTCCGACAAATTACTTTCGATTCTGTCGCTCTCCCGTGCAACCCGACGATTCGTGAAATTCTTATGGATGCGCGCGAGCATCTCGCTGATTTTTCTTTTTCTCTCTGTCAAAGAGACTGATTTACCGTAAGATTTTAAGAGAGCTATTTATTTTGCTGCTTGTGCCGCTCGCGAGTACAATCACGGATTTAAAATTAAGCGCCTGTAATGGGAATTTTGTGCTTTAAGTGTGTGTGTGTGCGCGTGTGTGCGCTTGTGTGCGCTTGTGTGTGTGTGATAGCGAGAGAGGAAGCGAGGTCGGCCTACTAAACGAAATTATCGATAAATATCGGATTGTTATCAGATAAGATATTGAGCTAGTAAATTGTTTATTAAAATCTTATATATTATATTGCATTATTGTATTCAGATGGGACTTTGATTGAGAATTCCTTCATCTATTTTTTTTTTTTTTTTTGCTGTTGTGATATTATAAAATTAGTCTGGTTGCTTTATCATTGGTTATGTAATTGATATTAAAGTATCAACTTTGAATCACGCGTGCATACACTCGCATGTGCATTTTGCGTTCTTTATTACCACTGTGGCAATAAGTAATGATGAGGCTTATTAGCTTTTCTTGTGTTTAGCATAGCTGACTTATGCTTTAAATTGATATGGAGGTACAAGTTATAGAGAAAAAGCAGAATAATGGATAATGAAATTACTTAGGCGCATGTATTATTGATGTTATGTAAAACAAACAATTTATTTTTAACAAGAAAGATCAGAGATAAATACTTTTCAGTTTATCAAAATAATTTACGCGCAATCATGAGAGGAAGCGAGGGCTTATTCCTTTAAATGAAAATTAAATCATACTTTTTAAAAATTCTTTTAACCAATCGTATTATTCATCCGGTGACTATTTTTTCCCGTATTTCATTTATTAAACAGCACGGTACGTGAATATTTAGTTAAAATTTGTCATTGAATTTGCATTTATTGCCATTCTTAAAAGACATATCTCATGGGCGGAAAAAAATTATTTAATCCTGATACTTGGACAAGGGCAAAATAACCGAGGAACGATCGGTGACTTCTTCTTTTTTTCTTTCACGTCCTCTCTTTTTCCGTGCTTCGCTCGACCTTTCTCCGAGCGAAAATAATATTAATGCCCTTCGGGCTTGCGCCAATTAGCGTCGTGGCTCACCTTTGAAAAATCGACGCTACGATCTTGCGTTACACTCTCGCCTATACATATTTCCATTTCGGAATATGCGTGCGTGCGAATCTTCTGTATCCCTTTTTATTCTACATTGAAAAGATGAAGAAGAAGAAGAGAAAAAAAGTACATAAACGTCAACTGAATTTTTAAAAACCATATGTACTTATCATTTTTCAGGAGTCGAGTTGGGTCGCCGACGATGTCAGCGACTGTTGCCGGAAATCAGCAGCAATATCCTCATCAAGAGTGGGATATCAACGACTCCAACGTGCCGAAGGTACTGCTTCCCTTGCAATATATCTTACTTTATTATTACATTTATTCGAAGGAAATCCTTAAGAGGAAAATCGTACGATTACTTATTAATCAAACGTAATTTCTTCGCTATTTATGGCTATTTGAGCACTAAGCATTATCTAAATAAAAACAAAATTTTATCTGGTTATCACACTATTCTGAATTTAAGAGAATTTATTATTATCAATCCATATTGTACCTTTGTATGAACATACCTCTCAAAGCGGTACAAATTGACATAAAATAGAATCATTAAATTGTATTAACGTCGACTGTAAAACGTAAGCCTTGATTAGACGCAGCTGTCGAGCGTCTCAGAATAAAAATTAATTTAAAAAAATAAAAAAGAAAAAAAGTCACGGCGTAGGAGGAATACAAAGTGTCGTCGACTAGACGTGTAACTAAAGCGGCGGAGGTATTCGAAAGTACGGTTGAATAATAATAAATTTCTTCGCCGCGCCCGTAAGGTCGTGGAGTACGACGGCTGGTGCGAATGGGCGGACGGCCACGTAAGAAAAGTGTACGGCGCGGACTGCGAGGAGGCGCGAAGACACGCTTCCGGCTGGGCCATGAGGAACACCAACAACCACAATGTCAGCATTCTCAAGAAGTCCTGTCTGGGTGTCCTCGAGTGCTCCCTCAAGTGCGTTCTTCCCGGCGGCGGACGCGTCCATCTGAGACCGGCTATTTGCGATAAGGTAGGTAGATACCGATCATCCCTTTCCAATGCGCAGTCAGATCGGAATACGCAAAACTAGCTTTCGCATGCCCGGGAGTGATTGCTCAACGCTTACCTGCAATTTAATTTTACATACGGGCCAAGCTCTCCTAACAGCTCCGTCGATCTTCCATCCCCTTCTTTACCCCCCCCCCCCCCCCCCCCCCCCCCCCCCCCCCCCCCCCTCTTTCCCCCCCCCCCCCACCTTCCGCCACCGCGACCACCACCAACCCCCATCCCACGCCAAATGAGTCCGTATTCGCGAAACGACTTTCCAGTAATTAGCCGCTCCTCTGCCAGCTAACCGAATTCCAAGCCCCAAGCGACAGGTTGCCGGGGCTAAATAGCGACTCTTTAACTCTTCTAGGCGAGGAAGAAGCAGCAGGGTAAGCCATGCCCGAACCGCCAATGCGCGGGACGACTGCAAATCCACGCCTGCCGCGGTCACTGCGGCTACCCAGTCACGCATTTCTGGCGGCACACCGACCATGCCATATTTTTCCAAGCGAAGGGTACGCACGACCATCCGCGCCCCGAGGCCAAGTCAACATCCGAGGCGCGCAGGAGCGTAGGCGCCGGGAGGCGAGTTCGTGGCCTCGCTGTCCTTCTTGCCCGAGAGGCTGCCCTCGGCTCTAAGGTGAGCTGCTCTAGCTTTTCCATTGACATTGCAGCCTTTCGCCCCGGGCATATTTGCTAACGCAATCCTTATAAAATCCTAAGATACATTCCCTCGTCTATGCATTATGCTTAAATTACGCTTAATTACGTATTCGTTTTATACGAGCGCCTGTCTCTTTCTTATTTCTTTTTTCTCTTTTTCTTTTTCCCCTACATCAAACGCATCGGCATTACGTTCACTTTGACTACAATTACTAATTACATTAATTGTACAGGCAATTTTCTCTCTCGTGATACATATTATATTGCTCAAAATTAAACAAAAAAGCAGGAAAACTTTCGTAATAATGTTTTTTATTGTTATCTTGTATTTTGTTATTGCACGATAACAATCAGTACTTACTTAAGAAACTGAATTATCGATAAATATAATTTAATAACAAAATTCAAATATTTCCATTAATAACATTAGCAATTATTATATTATTAATTATAATGTAAAATATTTTTAGCTAATGACACTGAGAGGGACTAAACGACCAAACTCGGATCCTCTGGAACTACCAACGCGGCCCACACAAACTATGACTTTAATAGGAGATAAAGGTTAGTACAAAAAGCAGTATAAATTTTGTATGGAAATGGCCTTTTATTGCCATTATTAACTAAGTATAACACTATACTTATCTACCAATGATTATGACAAAATAATCATCTAACAAAGCGACTATTCATAGCAATTCTCTACCATATAGAATATTCCTGTTCGTGCTCACCATTCGAATGTGTATGCGGAAACTTGCAACGAAATTATCCAAACGGCCAATCATCTTATCAATCATCGCATCATCAGCAACAGCATCAGCACCATCATCATCAGCAGCAGCAGCAGCAGCAGCAGCAAGAGCATCAACATCATCATAATCATCATCAACAACAACAACAACAACAGCAGCAGCAGCAGCAGCAGCAACATCATCATCTGCATCATCAGCAACAACACGAGCCTTTGACAATGGGTAATCCTGCGAATCCAATGTACAATGCACAGGCGCAACAGATGACAGGTAACGAGGCACCGGCTTACTGGCCCCAGGAAACCGCCATGGAGCAAACGGCTTTGGGATACTCATCTTATCCCAATTCGGAATTCCCTGTCATATTTGGCAGCGATCTTTTTCAGCCGGAAGAAATTTTTCAATTGGATCAACCAATTCGACCAGATTTTCCAGTTGGCAGCAGTGAGCTTACACGGTCGCCACCAAGTCTTTTGGATCTCGGCAGTGGCACCATTAAATACGAAATGTCCGATATGCATGAACAAACTTATTGGACACAACTCCTCAGCGAAGACTCGAGTAGCAGTCACATTAGCGTCTCTCAGGTGATTTTACATTATAATCAAACGTTTATCACAACGCGTTTATACAACCTTATAATACATCAATCAAGTGTTATAAAATGATAAAACTAAATAATTACTCGTTATCCACAGGGTCATGAGAGTGAAAGGGAGACAAATCAAACGCAAAGCTGCTCACCCTACGAAGCGTTCCAGGCACAAGGGAACTGGACCAATAATCAAAACGAGACGCGGATGGAGTACGCGGCGGTAACCGGCGTATACGAGACGCCAAAGCAATTGCGATCTACGCACTTACTCTCTAGTCATTCCCCGGTTTCCGAGGCTCCGAGCTTTCCCAATTACGACGATTACCATCAAATGATGCATATTTCGAATCAACGAACGCATAATCAATCGCCCGGCCAGTCACCCGAACACAGACAAAGCCAACACCGCATCCTCGAAGATAGACTGACTTACAATGCTCACCATGAGCAACCAATTCAGCCGCAAACGCAAACAAGTCCTGAGCCATTTTTTTATCAGAATAGTGGCGTTGATAGGTGTCACTACACCTGCGAGGTTCTTGACACTCGATTGACTCAGGTTGCGCCGATGACCACCAATTCTGGCATTAGTTATGCTGATGTTACAGATATGGAACTACCACCCTTTGTTGATTACACTCTTGTTGGAATGTTATGTAGCTCGAGAGAAGAGGAGCAACAACAGCAGCAGCAGCAACAGCAGCAGCAACATCATCAGCAGCAGCAGCAGCAGCAGCAGCAGCAACAGCAACAAAATGTCGGTATTATGCCCAATTGTCAGCAGCAAACTCTCGTACAGAGTTACGTACCTCACCATTAGAAGACCATCGTCCTTAATTAAATTTGTTAACTCTCAATTATGTTACATTTGAAACGATTTAAAACGACAGATTTGTGGAAACAAATTTGTTGAAATAGTTATGAATTCAATTTCTATATGCATTCTTCAGAATTAGTCACAGTGCACAATTACCCACACATTTATACGAGGGGTTTTGGAAAGAATATTTCGATTTTAACTCTTAAAATTCTTGATTTTATTATGAAATGTCGAATGTTTGCACAATGATAAAAGTCTGTTTATTGATAAAATGGATAAACATGGCAAAGAACTTATTACATTGAAATTTACATTGAAACTACACATTTTAGAGATGGAATATTAATTAAATATACTTGAAATATACTTCTCATTACGTATAAGGAATGAGGTTTAACATTTTTCTTCACACTTTAAATCTACTAACAAAAATAGTAAAATTAATATGCTTATGGATCCACTGTCAGCGTCATGCAACCAATTTATTTTTAAATTTAAGATATTCGTTAATCTTTGCTAACTTACGTTTATTTAGTATTTCCTATGAATATGAAATGCTAGTACATTCGTCAATTTAAAATATATATATATATATATATATATATATATATGCAGATCTTTTAAATTGATTATGGAAAGAAATATTGAAACGGGACAATTAATGTTTATTCTCTTCATTCCTTCAAACAGTGCGTGTAGAACGATAACAGCTATTCATTCAATTTAAAAGTAGCTTTTTATACAGTGATTATATCTTTAAAAAGAAAGAAATGCTGTTTAAAAGATTAGTTGCAATAATAAAAAAAAGTTTGTAAAAATAAGATTACATTATTCCAATAATTCCACTTGAATGTAATAGAAATGAATTTACATGTACTTATTTTTAAATCATTATAAAATAATACAAAACTATAATTTACTGAAATTTACTGAATTTATTAAAAACTGAGTCTCACTCTCATATATAATATGAAAAAGCGTATATTGTTTGGTAACGAATATTTAATGAATTGTTAATTTAGTCGAACATTAAGAAACTTTTTAATGACAAAAATGTCATTTTTGTCTTGTTGATATTCAAAGCAAAATGGAAACATTCACTTTTATCGAACTATCATTCCTAATACGAACATCTCGATTTCAGTTTCTTGTAAATTGACATTAAGCGCTTAAAATCTCGATACATTAAAATAAAAAAAAAAACAAAAACAAAAACAGAACGAGTTATTATTATTACAATTATTACTGTTTTTAACAAAAGTATAGCAGAACTGAATTTTTAATTGTATATAGTATTAGTAAAAATGAAAAATTGTACATATGAATAATACTGTTAATTTAAAATAGATTAAGAATGTCAGGTTGAAATAAAAATAAAATTCAAGTCATGTCTCATGTAAAAGTCACTTGTTCTTTATTAATTCATATATAATTATTTGTAATTCCTTTACTTCTAATAGTTATTTCAACAATCACAATGCTTCGCATGCCTACACGCTCTTTTTTATCACTTATCATATCGCTCTTACAATGTTACGATTTTAAAATTAATAAAATGTCAAATAAATATAAAGATTAAATTCTCATGGACTTGCAAACCATGCCTATTTTTCTTTTCCTTCGCACGTACATTCTCTTAATATATTGTGTAGGTTTTCTTTATAATTTTATCTGAACTATATTCTAATTTCTTGAGTTTGATTAACTTATTCAGTTCTATTGTATCGCTTTTTTTTTAATAATACTATTAGTTATTATCTAGTAATTGATTAAAAAAAAAAAAAAAAAAAAAAAAAACAATGATAAATATAGAGCTTTATCCATCACGACGTGTTTTTTTTTTGTTTTATTTTTGTTTTTAGAGATAATTGTTTTATATTCATCTATTTATTAATTTGAGATGCATTTAACTGGGCAAAAACTATATGTAAACTACGAAGCATTAAATTTATCCATAATATTAAGTTACTTTTAAACATTTTCTGTTATATGTTTTATTTGAAGAAAGTCTAAAAAAAAACCTAAATATCAATCGTAATAAAATTAATTTTATGCAATAGCTTAAAATGTATACAATATGTAACAGGCACGTTTTTTGATGTTCCAGTTTACTATTTATATAGGTTTATTACTTTTTTTCAAGAACTTCACAATAATCACTAATATCTTTTGTTGTTATTATCCTTGTTATCTTATCTGAATTGTAATTAAAAAATTTTTAGACGTGCGAAGGTTTGCTTGAGAATTAAATACAAACACACTCGGAGCTTAATAAGTTTAAATGAAGTTTAAACTTTGATTTTATTACAATTGGAGAAGATGAAAAGCTTGAACATAATCATCATTGTTATTTGTAGATATTATTATTATTGTTAAATATGAAATATAAATAAAAAAATGAGTAATGTATGTGTTTGAAGAATCGTTGTTAATAAATTGGATTTATTTCAAGTTTTTGGTAAGTCTATATATTATTATTATCGTACGAAGCATTAAAACGAACGAAAAAATTGGATTATTCGTCCCACAGAAAAACCAATTTCGCTTTTTATGCTCACATGAGACTTGAATCACTAGTTATTATTTAGACGTGAAAACGTTGAAAAGTGATAAAAGATGCGATGCCACTCTATGAAAAAGTTAAAGAACTCGAATATCGTATACAACTATTAAAACAAAATTACAATTTTGTACAAGATGAAAATACGAAGATAAATGAGAATATTTTTATTTTTTATTTTTTTATACAAAATCGTAAAAAATGTTTTATAATGTATTTATTTTCCGTCGAGTGGTAATGTATCGCAATGATCACAGCTATTTAACGATACACTATATAAGTGTCTATTGGTAAGAATAATTGGTGCCTAATAATCTAAACGTAAAAATCCGAGTCTTCTATTATCTAATGTATTAATTTTTATAACGAAAATGATTACAGATTTTAAAAACAATGATCACATTATTATTGTTTTTCGCTCATCTTATCTCCATCATTATTTTTATAATTTTTCTTCATTATTAAATGAAAAAGACGAGGAGTATTTGCTAATTAATATTTTAATTTCTTTTTTCTTTTTATAGAGAAACTGGATTTAACAACTTAAATTTTCACAAAGGAATACCATAATTGGTATCAATTTTTAAACGCTAAATTAAAAAAAAAAAAAAAAAAAAAATGAAAAAATAAAAAATTAGAATAAAAAAAAAAAAAAATAAAGAGGAGCGATACTTAAAGAAGCTCGGCGAAATATATATAAATCAGTCGTCGTAATTACAATTTTATAAATAAAAATGAAAATCATGAATATAGCAAACGTATAAAGTATCAAAGATGGCTTACTAGTATATCAGATTTTTTTATTTTTGTAAGCTTTCGTATTTAAAACTTATTCGTTCATTTATGATCAGTTTAATTATTATACGTAAATTATTGCGCGCTAAAGCAATTTTATTTTAAAAAGAACAATAGTTTTTAATATGCATTTATACAATTTATAAACGCGTATCATTCAAATAAACAATTTTATATACTAGTATGAGTAATGTGAACAGCGTAAGTTTACAGAGATTATAAAACTTACAAGACTAACTCTTCACGAGGTGCAAAGGTTAACTATTATACTTTTCACAATTAAATTCCTTCTTTCTTTTTTTTTATCTTTTATGATTTTTTAAAGAAATGACGACAGAACTGACGTCCAAAATTATCTCATCTATAAAATTTTGATACAATGAATTTTTTCTACATTGTTTGAGAGATTAAGAAATTGACAATAATATCGTCAGTTCAATTAATAATTTTATGAAAAATGTAAAAATGAAAAACAATTAAAATTAACGGCCTAATTTTATAAGCATCACACGAATTATCTTCAAAATTTCCGTTTTATCTTTTTTTCTTTCTTTTTCTTTTTGTTTTTTTTCACGTTTTTATTATTGATAAATCCATCTTGTTTTGTAAAAACGATTTATCAAGAATAAAATAAATGATTACCAATTCTACTCTCGTATAATTACAATAATTCATGTCACTTTAGCATTTGACATGCTTCATTCCATTTGTTGTCTTCTTTTAAAAATTTTTTTTCCTGTTTAAATACTTATATCACAATAGAATTCCAACGCATCTTACACTGTTGCGTGCTTATATTTTGAAACACATTTCTTCACATTTGTTCGTAGCTTATACATCACTTAATAATCTTAATTGAGATGTGCCTCAAAACTGGCAGGTTTTGGCCTTTCGTTCAAATCTTTTCGATAATGAGGAAGATTAGTTTATTTAGGCAAACATCCTTCTAATTCTCAACAATTATAACAATTCTTGTGTTAATTTTTATCGACTGAAACGTGATTGCGAGTGTAATCGGTAAGTGGTTTCACTCGTACTCGGTAGAACTTAGTCCCCTGTGGAACTCTGTATCGATTTCCTGCCTGTAATTAAGAAATTAAAACTTTATAAAATCCATAAGTTTTAATATAAAACAAAAACTTTTATTAAAGATATTTTCAGTTTCTTAAGAAAAGGATAACTTTTATTTGAATAAAATATTTTCTAAGACAATGTAATAATTATAAGTATTCAAAGAATATTAAAATTTTTTTTTTATACTTTTCATTCTTTATTTATACATATTTCGCGCGCGCGTGCGTGTGATAATAATAATAATAATAATAATAACAATAACAATAACAATAATAATAATAATAATGATAATGATAAAGGAAAATTTTTTTACATTATCTACATAGGATTATTAAACGTATTGATAATTTTATATTTTATTATTTGAAAATTAAAATATTAATACAATTAAAAAAGAATTGATAATGATAAAGGAAAATTTTTTTACATTATCTACATAGGATTATTAAACGTATTGATAATTTTATATTTTATTATTTGAAAATTAAAATATTAATACAATTAAAAAAGAATTGATAATGATAAAGGAAAATTTTTTTACATTATCTACATAGGATTATTAAACGTATTGATAATTTTATATTTTATTATTTGAAAATTAAAATATTAATACAATTAAAAAAGAATTGATAATGATAAAGGAAAATTTTTTTACATTATCTACATAGGATTATTAAACGTATTGATAATTTTATATTTTATTATTTGAAAATTAAAATATTAATACAATTAAAAAAGAATTGATAATGATAAAGGAAAATTTTTTTACATTATCTACATAGGATTATTAAACGTATTGATAATTTTATATTTTATTATTTGAAAATTAAAATATTAATACAATTAAAAAAGAATTGATAATGATAAAGGAAAATTTTTTTACATTATCTACATAGGATTATTAAACGTATTGATAATTTTATATTTTATTATTTGAAAATTAAAATATTAATACAATTAAAAAAGAATTGATAATGATAAAGGAAAATTTTTTTACATTATCTACATAGGATTATTAAACGTATTGATAATTTTATATTTTATTATTTGAAAATTAAAATATTAATACAATTAAAAAAGAATTATTTACATTATTATGATATTAATAAATTAAAATGTCGTTTAACCTTTTTAGCTGAGCAATAGTCTTTATCGATAACCTTAGCCAAGGTTACTACTTTTGTCGGTAGCCCATCCACGCTTAGTTTGAGATCTAAAGCATTATTACATTCCGGATTCAAAAAAAAGAGTGTTGCACTATTCTGCAGAATAATATAGTTCCAATGTGCTTGGTCCCAAATAATGAGAACAATATCGTTATCACTGCAAGAGGAGAAAGTGACCAAACCCAGATACTTAAACTCATACGAAGTTTTGCTAAGTTTGCCTAACATCGACTCGGTGAGGGAAAATGCCCTTTGTCTTTTAATTTCCGTACTCGTGGCGACATCCAGTCGGTCTGTCGGAGATACTTGTGTTGCTAGTGATATCGATGTGCTTATGCCCTTATCGTTATTGCTGTCAGAAGTCGAGGCCATCGTTGAGACACTCAAAGACTCAGCGACGAAGTTCCTTTTTAAACGCTCTTGTGCTGTTTCGAAAATGCATATTATATTATTTTGTCTTTCTCATCCATTGTGTCTTCTTATAATCATTGATATTTTCGATAAAATAGATTAAGATTTTAATAATTGAATTGATAATGAAAAACGTATGTATTTTGTCCAATGGCCAATTGAAAAATAAAAAGCGCGTGGAAGCAGTTTTCCATAATTTTTAAATTCTGATGAAAGTAAATTAATAAATGGTTTAAAGCCATCACTGATATAGAATAATTAAAAAAGTTGTAAAATACAAAATACCAAGGATATCCTTATTAAGTAATTGGATTTTTTCATAAAGTATTTTTTAAATCTAATTATTAATAAATATTTGACATGCAGTATATAAAATTTTTAATTTAATATTGTTACTACAACATTATACAATAAAAAATATTCTCACCCAATTCAACTTCTAGCCTGATTCTTTCCTTTTCCAAAGCTTCGACTTTAGACTCGAAACATTCTTTGTTCTCAAGAAATACTCGCAATTCTGAATTCAATCTTTTATTATCTGCCTCCAAAATTTCTAATCTTCCAGGAAATGAAATTAAACTACTATCTGCCTCTAATCTTACTTTCTTCGACTCAGACACTCTAACCTCATCCTGATTAGGTTCTTCCATTGGCTTCAACGCTTCTTCAATTTCAATATTCGATTGACTCATTTTTAATCTTCCCTCATTAAGCTCTCGCCTCAATTTATCTCTTTCCGCCTGTGGAATAAAAATCAAATCATTAGAATTAAATTTATTTTCAAACAACGTATGAGCACTTGAATCATTCCGATTCTCTTAATGTTCATTAGAATTCCCTATAAATATTATCGAATAACAATATATTTAAAAGAAATTAATATAATTAATCTAAACTTTGACTTCAAATTCAATGAAAGCTAAAGATTTTATATCAGACTAAATAAGTTGAAATGGTAAACATATAATTCTACGTTTCTACACATTTAATCGTAACAATCATAACAATCGTAACAATTGTAAAATACCTCTAATATGCGTATGTGACTTTCATGCTGTTCCAATTTTTCATGTTCTGATGATAATTTATGGTCGAGTGATATCTTATCCATTTCGAGCTTTTCAATAACGGATCTGGCTTCGTTAAGCTGCTGTATCGTCGATTTATAATGCTTACACTCCTCGAGTAAAGCTGCCTTTTGTTGTCTATGAAGGTCCGATTCTACTTTATTTTTCTTAATTATTGCTTTGGCTAGCTTTAAATCTTGAGTCAATACCGCACACTCCTGATTTATGGCCAAATGAATAGCATTTTCCTTCTCGATTTCCATGTCTTTTTTCATTTGTTCAAGAATCGTCTCGTGATTTACTAATTCTATCATATCTACACGCTATAAATAGAATTTATATTTAATATATTAAATCATTTTACGCATATGTGTAAAATAATATATTTTCAAACGCTTTATGAATAAAAAATTTAAAAATTAATTACTCCGATGAATTGATGTACCTCAATTTTTTCAAGACTGGAATCACTTGGACTTCGTTCCATCGTTGATGCAGCCATTAACTTAAATCTGCTTCTAATCGTTTCCAACTGAGTTTTACATTCGTGTTGCATCTTCTCCGTTTCCTCCTTGATAGCTTTCTGATGTTCCATTTGCACCGTTGCTAATTTTTCCTCCAATTCGTTGATCCTCTCTTGAAAAGAAGCTTTCCGCATATTGCTCTCCAACAACCAAGCTTTATTCATCTCCTTTACAGTATTTTCTTTATCTATTTGTGCTTTTTCCAATCTCTCTTCGAATTCTCTGGAAATATAAAATAATATTAAATAGTGCACATGTAATTTTTATCAATATCAATAATATAATATAATATAATATAATATAATACACGAATTAAAGTGAAATTGAATTAAAGATATATGATACAATATTGTTAATATTTTACGAATCTATAAATCAATTCGAATATCTCAATTATTTATATACCTCGCAATAGTCATTTGTAGAGAAATATGAGTTGTCGAGTTCAAGAATTTATAAGTAATAAGTAATTAACGTAAATGTATTACCGAGATATTTGTATCGTTCAAAAATATTTACAATATGTACGTATAGATACAATGAATTACTATAAATATACGTTTTTTCATAAACAGAGTTTCAGCCCTTTAAGTTATCGCTCTACTCTATAATTCGACATACATAATATTAAGATCAAGCTTATTTAATAAGAAAAATAGAAAGATAATAACCTGTAAAGACACTGTAATTTTTTAACCGTTTGCTGTTCATCATCCAGCTTTTGCTTTATGGCTATGAAAATTCTCTCTTGTTCAGAAAGCTCTTGCTCCTTATCAATCAGACTCCTCTTTAAATCCTCCAGCTGATCATCTCTCGACTTCAGTAGCTTCTTGAGATCTGAAAGCTCGAACTCGTGATCAAGGTTTAATTCCTGCTCGTGCTCCTGCAAAGCACTAGTATGCAGTTTAACAGCGTCACCGATCTCCCCCAAGAGTTTCGCTGCGCTTTTACGGTCGACTAATGCCTGCTCCTTCAATACTTTCAGTTCACCACGAAGCCCTAGAAGAGAATTGGTCGCAACGCCTTTCATATTGGTGATTATGACTCGTAGGTGTTCCATTTCCTCCCGTGTACTTCCGAGATTTTCCTGAAATATTATGTTCATAATTAATTAACTTATTTATTTCTATCATTTTCAAATTTACTGTTACTTTAATTCAATTCGTAATCGATAAATTGAATCGACGATAAATTGAAAAGTGTTTTTTTAGTTATGTAACTCATCTCGCCTGATATTATCTTCAGGCATTCAATACAATTACTTTTTTTGTCTGTCAATAAATTTGTGTTTTAAAATTGTTTTATAGATAATTTTAATATTCCTTCAATCTGTGATATATTGTTTAATTGGAGAATTTTACTATTAATAACTAAACCGTTCATATATTCCCATACTTAACATCGATTATCCCATAAGAAATAATTCTATGATTTTTATAGATGAGAGAACCTTTTTAAAAACAAATAAAACTACAAAAGCGATGATACGAATTTTATTATACATAATTATGTTTATATTTCCAATACAGAATTAGTAATAACCATATGAACAATATTAAAAAAAAAAAACAAAAAAAAAACCATTTAAATATTTATAGAATCTGTTTAATAATAAATTAACATTGTCTATATAATCTATTAAGAATTTAATCAATTTAAATCAAATGTGTTTAACATACATTCTCATTATTTAATATTATTCAAATTTACAATTTTAATATTTTAATGATTGCATGCATGCAATACGTATATTTAAGTATGTAAAAATTTTAAAAAATGATTTAGCTTCTTCCTCAATTTTTATAAAAATTATTATTTATTATTAAATTATAAATTTAAAATTATATTTCAATATTTTGTTGTTGTACAATTATCATAATTGTATTGACTTTGTAAAATTGTTTTTTATTGAAATCACTTAAGTAATCTAAATTTTTTCTGTAATAAAAATAGGTATGTTTCAATCAAAATTTTTATTTTTTATTAGTTTAAAAATTAATAAATTTAAGAATATTATTATTAAAATTAGAATAATAGTGATAATATGTTGAAATAATATTCATGTTATTTTTAATCATTTATTTAATTTATATGTAGTAGTTTAGTATTAGATACGTACGTTAGTTAGATATTATATGGATATGAACCTTTTGAAATATATACCTTAAATTTTAAAAGCCTTTATGTTATACATATTATTTGAAAATTAAAGTAGAATTTTTTACTCTTTTGATTAAAGTGTAGCATACGCTAAAATTATATAATTACAAAAAAAAGGATCATTATAGATTAAAGTGAAAAAACGTTCGTTCATTCTTGCCTGAAAGTAAAATACATACTGGAGAACATTGGTAAAGGTAACGGAAATAGAGTAATAGGAATAAAGTGCGACGGCAGCTGCCCTGAAAAAAATAAACCAAAAGGAGAGAAACAAACCCGAAACCATGAATAAAAAATTATGAACAAACCTCTTATGTAATTTCAGAAATAAGATTAGAAACTTAATCCGAGAGCAATGTTTTAAAGAAATGTTTTGTAATAAGCGAAAGAATTATGATAATGAAAAAATGAGAAGCATTAAAATTATTATGCATTGATACATTGAGTACATTAATTTATCATGAAAAATAAAAACAAATTTAATCTACAAAAATTTAAAGATTAATTTAAAAACAAATAAAAATCTATTATTTTGCAATTACAATCAAATATGGATAACAATATTTGCTTTATATTAAGGAAAGATATTGATAACGCTATATAATATATATGAAAGAAAAAAATAGTTTTTCACTTCAAACTATCATGTAGTTGTTTTATATTAGTTTATCAATTTTATAGTTTTAAATTTTATTTACTGTTTTACGTTCTGTTGGAAAATATTTGTATTAATTATCAATAGATTTTTTTGTAATTTTATTAATAGATTAACGGAGCGAATATTTATTAATGTAAAATTGCCTTTTTTATATTATCGCCTATTCAAAACTAAGAGATTCGCCAATAAACGAAGTTAGAATTAAAATATTATCAAATGAATTTGAAATGAAAATTTTTTATATAATTTAAATGTTGATTTCTTAAATTAAAAATATAATTTATGTCACTGTATCGATCAATGTATTTGAAATTATTAATACAGAAGAAATAATATTAAAAAATAGAAAATTTATCGTATATATATATATATATATATATATATATATATATATATATATATATATATATATATATATATATATATATATATATATATATATATATATATATATATATATATATATATATATATATATATATATATATATATATATATATATATATATATATATATATATATATATATGTTGATGTTTGAATTTTAAACGTAATTGTAAGACAATATAAAATTATATAAACAAAATTTATATTTGCAGATTCTATAATCTATTCTATTTTAATAACGATACAATTAATAGTTTACATATATTGAAGTTATATTTAAATAATAACAAAATCTATTTAATGATTATATGATAAAATATTTTGTGTAAATTTGTGGTTTGATTATGAAATTATTCTGTATGAAAAATAAGTTAACAACAGAGATTAGTATAATGTATGTGTTTAATAATAATTATTAGTATAAGATGAAATGTAAATTATTATATTTTAAGTACTTTCTCCATGTAAATAATATATATAAACATCAATAAGAATGGCGAAATACCTGCTGCTTTTAAGTGATTATTGTTTATTTATCACGAAATGATCCGTGAAAATAATAATGAGAAACAAATTTTTTTTCCTTTCAATTGGTTATAATGCAGAATGTTCATTATAACGCATTAACCTACTAAAAAAATACTATCGGCAGGTGTGCAGGTATTTGGTTGACATCGTGTCCAGTACCTGAAGTAGGGACACAACAGCTTGATGATGACTGTCCGTTGGATGCTCACTTAGACTGCTCGGGAGCGATTCGTCCATGTAAAAGTCCGTGGACAGAAAGTCATTAGTCGGCACTGGAATACCAATTGACGGGCTACTACCGTCACTTCCTGAACATCGTAACTGCTTCTTCTGCTGTCCGTCGCACGAACTCGCGAGAGTAGTAGCCGGAAATTTCGGGGATTTAGGAGGAGTGGCATTAGTGTGCTCTACGCATTCAGTCAATGGACTCAGGGGTTGTTGCTGTTGTTTCTCGCTGATGGATAGGGAAGGAAAATGGAGGAGTTCGCTCGAATTGGAGGATGTAGAACGGTTGAGAGGGGAGATGTTAGTTGAGGTCGAGGAGGTTGATATTGAGGCACCAACCTCCAATTGCTTTTGGCGATTCTGCTGGTAGTGACGCTGCGGCTGTTGCTGTTGTTGTTGCTGCTGTTTCGTATTTTGATAGTCGATTAGATTCGAGTCCATCAACGGTTGTCGGATTTTCTCGAATTCTTCCGTGTCGGTTTCCGATTCGAAATCTCTCCTGTAAAACACAAGGATAAAAAATCTTACCCGCTAATTTAACTAAATATTGATTACGTACAAAACCTTAATTCTTATAGTATATAAAGAAATTTGATATGATCGATTCAGATTTAGAAAGTCATTTATTTTCAAAACAAGACATTAACAACTAAAATTAAATATTACTTTAATTTGTAATAACAATATGTGTAATTGAACGTTTAAAAAGATAAATAATTTGTTTTTAATTTTTAATTTATATTGCTAATTAATATCCACCTGTCGCTAATTAATGGAGGGTTATCTTGTTTCTTCGATGGGGCATCCACACGCATTGATGAGCTTTCTTTATCCTTGTTTCCGTCACTACTGCTGTCTGAAAGACTCTTGGAGAAGAAAAACTGTGTTATGCTATTCAGATCCGGAGTTGATACACTCAGAGACAAATCTGGTAATTGCTGTTTCAACGATTCTATATCATCAGTTGTAAGCTAAAATATATATTTATTTTATAATTAAAATATGCATAAAAGTTTTATAATTAAGACTCTTACGAAATTTTCCACAAATAATAATGACTAATAATTAGTGCTAAAATACTTTTGAAATCTTACTTGTACATAATACAAACGATAAAGTTTATTATTTATTTCAATAAATCTTATTATTAACAATGTTTCTTATTATTAATAAATAATTATTGATAAAATGTAAAAACATAGTATTAATGATAAGACAACACGAGGCAAAAACTGTTAAAATGGTAATAAAAAAAAAAAAATATATATATATATACCTTTGGTAATCCATTATCAAAAATTGATGGCGCTTGGGTGGCAAAAGGAGGTGGCGTGTCCTCCAGTCCAGGAAACAACGTATTTAAAAAATGTCCTTCGAATTTACTTTGAAATTCGCGCCTCCTTTTGATTTCTTCGCTATGAACACCGAGCAATTGGCAAGCTAAGTTGCTCGCCCAGACGAGGAAGGCCTGGGAGAAGGCCCTTCGTCGCACGACCTCCACAATTGCATTTACATACATCTGCGGCGCCAGGTGAATCTGACGAAGGATCTCGAGCTGACGACGCAATCGTCGTAGACTTTCATGGTACATTACCAACTTCCCATCAAGCTCCATCATCTTGTTCTCGACATACATTATCCACTTAAGACGTCGGTGGATGCTCACGGAGAGCTCTTCTTTGGCCTGAAATCCAAATTTATTTTATAATTTGTGTCTGAACAATTATACACTCCTAAGTTAAATAATAAACTACGGAATAATTAATATGTGAGATTTCAAAGCATCTATCGAGCCAAGCTAATATATAAAATTTTGGAGACAATATCGCGTGGACTGATAAATTAGAGGAATCTCATTTATTAAATATAATAATGCCAAGGAAATTCGATCGATATTGCATTACTAACTTTATGGAACACTCATGCCAAATAAAATTATTGAATACTATATATGTGATCAGGCATAAAAATGCATAAAAACAAAATACAAAACAAAAAACTGAACCTTGGTGCATCGACGTCGAATATCACGAAGTTGATTATGATTCTGAAGCATTACGAGTAGCTGTTCTCGGTGCGACGTACAGAGATCAGGAAGAACACTGTCATCGTTCAAGTTAGAAACACGTGTTTTATTCTGATGGAAACCCTGAGCGAGCTCAGTTTGATCGTGTACAAGTTTTTTCATTTGGATCATTAATTGTTGTAGACTAAAAAGACGTTCGCCGAGGCCTCTGATCTCTTTCATTTCTTGTTTATTAGCCGCCTCAATGGCACAGCCCACCTGCAAGGAAAACGTGCACAATATGAAAATGAAAAAGTAGATTATATGGATAAGTAAGGATAATAAATATGAAATACATACATATATATATATATATATATATATATATATATATATATATATATATATATATAATTATTATCCTATCTTATATAAGAATAATATAATATTTGAATTATTAAAAAATATGAATTACTATTTAAAGAATTCAATACAAAGCTCAAATATATTAGCTTTCCTTTATTTCGCTATATGATACAATTTAAAATACGTTACAAGTCGGATTATATTTTTGATCGAGTCAAAATTATATTCACACTTAGAAAATAAAAAATCATTATTATTATTATTATTATAAACAATTGGTCAGCCACAATTACTTTTATGAATTCAGAAATTTATATTTACTGTATTTAATCGTGTCTTATTGCATTTAAATGGTTAAGAAAAGAAATATTCATCAATTATACGCTTCTTATGCGATGAAGGAATCAAACGAACAATCACGAACAAACGAATATCATATGATTAAAAGATGATAAAATTATGGTTACAATCAACAAATGATAAAACCATATGATAAATGTATTATATTAATCAATTTTCGTTATTAAGTTTTACTTTACCAAGGATTTATCAATAATTGTATTTTCTTGTGGAGTTTGCTATAAATGCAAGTACAAAACTGTGCCTCAAATAAATAAAAAACAAACTAAGAAAGATAAAAGAACTAGCGAATTATCGGAATAAAATTGTTGGAAAAATAGTTATCCCATTTATCATTCCTATTTTGAAATTACTGGAAGATTTCAAGCAATAATTAAGCGCATCTAAAAAAAGTGTAGAATTACGGCGATCAGCACGCGAACATAATTAACTCATACAAGATGTTTCCATTTCATTCTATTAAACTCGAGCGCGCAGTTGAAAAAAATCACCTCGTTCTTGAGGGCTTCCATTACGCGCTCGTCGAACTGCTCGAGGCCGCGCGAACACTGATCGGCCACTTGTTCCAAGCTGCTCTGATTGTCCTTGGCTGAGATCCACTTAAGAAGGCTCAGCGCATCCGCCACGTCCGATGTTTCCTGCGCCGACTGTGGATCTGTGATCCCCGTGATCCCCGTCTCTGGTTGTTGTTGTTGTTGTTGTTGTTGTTGTTCATCGGGACTCATGAGACCTTCGGCTTGAGCGCGCAAAGCTGGCAAAATTGGAATCTTTTCCAAATTTCTGAGATCTAAGTTGAAACTGCAATTGGGGAAGTTAATAACTTTTAGAATTTTAGAATTTGGTATGCAATATTATTGGCATATTGTGAATGTTTATAACAAATAAATGAAACAATCGATTATGCCTTAGGAAAAGCTTTCAATTTGTCTTGTATTATTTATTTTGTTAGTCAAATCTATTTAAAATTAAAGTTAAAGAGAGGATGAATAAAATTAAATTGTAGCGTGTTCATTGTGACAGAAATCTTCCCATGTTCATGTATATATTGTATTTTTTTCCCTCATTTTATGAATTTTAATTGCATAAATTACACCCAAATATAAATAACTACATAAATAAAATTATTTATAATATACTATCATTATCACAATATATAAAATGTTTAAAATACTATTTAATAATATAAAGAAAATATTTTATTAATCATTACTTTACATGATATGATAGGATCATGCGATATATTCTTTAAATATTATGTCAAAATCATGCGATATGCTAACAAGTATATTGTGTCCTCGATAAAATATAATAAATTATAAGTATAATATGAAAAAGCTGCTTATGGCCATACAAACATTTCAATCGCAATACAATTTTTTAATAGCTTCAACACAAGATACAATTTAATAATTGAATAATTCAATCTTATCGTTTAAATCTAAGTTTAGGTTAAGCTTTGTCAGTTTTGTCAGTTCAGTTACAGTCAATATAACCCGATTGAGCGCACTCGGATACTTCGCAACACAATATTTCAGCTTTAATGTGAGAAACTAACTTTTCAAGGAGTCCCATGTGTTGCTGGCGTTCCGACAAGTATATGGCGAAGTTTTGCTGGAGCACCTCGGCACGCGATTGGAAGGTTTGCGTGATGTCCTCGAGATTCGCGACAACGGCCGCCCATCCCTGCTGCTGGAGGTGCTGATCGTGAACGAGGCGCTCGCAGATGTAGGTTTGGTCCCGGGCGAGACCACAGCACTGCTGAGCGAGTTGAGCTCGAGCAACGAGGGTCTGATACGTTGCCGGCATCGCCAGCGAGGCGTCCACTTGGCTCTGCAAATCCACATCTGGAAATTTAAATTTTCTGCTTAATATCTCTCGGATAAACGGATTTATAAATGCTAGGTGAGTAGTTCATGGATCAGATGTTAATTTAACATTTATTTCAGGAGTAGCGGAAAATTCGATCGAGTTAACGGTTCAATGACAAATAAGATTAATAGGAACTTCTGAAAGGATTTCCTTTTTAAGCCTCTTGAAGGCCTGCGTGTAAATAGAAATAAGAAAATGTAGATAGAAGGTTTCTTTTTTTCATTCTATCGTTTTTTTTTGTGTCTAAACTGACCAAAATAGATACACTACCGTCGCTACTTATTCTTCCTTAACACGAATTAATGTTTCTTTCTTTCAATGTGGATTTGAAAATATGTCTGAAGTTCTTTAAAGTTAACGTTCGAAATTTTTTATCAATAAACTAATAAAATATATAATATACTAACAATTGAAATTTAATTACTTCGCATGTTTAAAGTAGTTTAATTCTTTATTATGGACTTAATTTCTGCAGATGACTATTTTTTTTTTACATTAAGACGTCCGATTATATTAACAAATATATTAACAAATATAAGAAATTCAGAATGAAAAGTTATTTTCGATTAATTTATTATATAAATAATTCTACGCTGGAAAATCTGATTTAAATTTAATTAACCTTTAAGGTATTGTCGGGTATGATTCGAGTTTATCTTCGTTCTAAATAAGAGCTCAAAGCATTCAAATTCAATTACCGTAAACATAATTGAAAATTTGCGAATAATGTAAAATTGTTACAGCGAGGGACTCTCTTTAATATAATGTTAGCCAGAAAATTGACTATGATTGTAGGCATATGTGACCGATACTTGATAATTAAAATGAGAAGAAGAAGAGTAAAGTCTAGTTTACAAAGCTTCGTGATGTGACTAAGTCTCCTCTATTGTTTCGTAATACTTAGTTTTCCTTACCTGTTTTGTGTTTATTATTAGGAACCTTATCATCGTATATAGCAATAGAAAAAAAAAATTAAAATGATCACTTGCAATTAGATAACTTGTTTATCATTAACAACTAATCAATTTCTCTATTTATCTTGTTAAATTGTTTTAATTATATTGTCACTTAAGCATTCCAATAATTTTATCGTTTCATTAATTTTTCCATATACTACACTCTTATAAATATTATGCGTAGACAAAAAATTCCCACGTAATATGTATCGTAATTTTTTCATTGATTGCAGTAAAACTAAAGCTATTTAACGTATGATAATAAATTTTAAGTATTTAGCTTTCGATATAAAATGTTAATATCCGCAAATGGACTATCTTATACTAGAAATACGGAATATCTGTAATAAAACGAATGCCATTTGCAAACGGTTAAGGTAATAAGAAAATCATAATCCTATTAAAGGGAACTTCAAAAACCATAGCATTCAAACAAAATAAAAGTTAGATTATAGAATTCATACGTTAAGTAAGAAGCGATTAAAAAATTTGTAGTCATACGGCCGCTCAAAATCTAATGCCGCGTTTCACGATTCCAGGCCAAAAAGAGCGATGTAAAATATCTTGGCACTCATTGAAAATTCAAGGGCAGTGACAATCTAGCGGTTGCCGCTTTCGGAAAACTTGCATCAGACTTCGGCTCGTCTTTGTCGACTAAATGCCGACATTGTATACCTACTATGAAACGCACACATAAGCACGGAATTATGTTGTAACGATCGGACGATTCTGACTACGAGATGGGACTACAATTCGTAATTGTATCGGTGCCATATTAATCTATTCATCCTTTTCTACAATTCGTTAAGCTTTAAGTATATCTTATTTCATTTTATTTACTCACTCTAATTTCTTATTTATTGTTCATTTAAATTTTCACTTCAGATATTATTATTATTATTATTATTATTATTATTATTATTATTATTATTATTATAGAAATGTAAATATAATTTAAATATTTTTTTAGTTATAAAAGTTGCTAACGTCCATTAAATTAAAAATATTAAGATAGTGGGGTTTATAGGTTGAGAAATGTGGTTGTCAATTCTCAAAAACTCATAAACATTTTGCAATCTGTCTAGATTTTATACTATTGAGATTCATAAGTTCGGCCTCATGCAATATCTTCATACTAACGCAGTCCAAAAATATATTATGGATCAACTAAAATCTAATAAAACGCTTGATTTGAATTATAATATAAATACTTGAAGTGTAGTTTTTGTATAATTTGAAAATTTAAATAAATTTATCTATCACATTCGAATCATCAAAGTATTACAAATTTTACTTACTATTGCATATGTTTTATATAATTTTTTTCGTAAACAAAAATTATAACAATAAAACTAATTTTAATAAAATGTATAGTTAATCTTATAATTAATGATAAGCACGTTGAAAATATTATTTCTGATACTCAATTTACATAAGTTTTTTTTTATATACATATTCTCTTTAAAATGTTGTTAATCTTCAGAATTAGAGATAATTTAAAAGCCAAAAACAAGCAATAAAAAGATACGACAGAATCATATTTTCGATTACATTCTGCGGATTTACAAACAGTTTTTTTTTTTTTTTTTTTTTTTGTTCAATGCTTATTGGTATATATAACACTATTATTTAGTGTGTCACTAAACTTCGTTATTGACCTAAAAACCTACTGACATTTTAATTATACGATCTTTGAAGATGAAAGACCAACTAAAATTAGAATGAAAAGAGATTAATTAAGTATTTTTGGACAAAAATTTTATCTGTCTTGTGTGGATAAAAATTATTATTGTATAGGAATATTATATGAAATTAAAGATTAAGATGGCGTTATTCTAAATATATATTTATTTATAAATTGAGAAAAATTGATAAAAATAATTTTCATATAAATATCTTATCAATTGCATTAAGCTTTAGAAATTATCTTTCATAAGTATACCTACAGATTTGAACAAAGCTATCTCATTAGCCAATAGTTAATTATTTTATAATTTGTCAGTTAAAAATTGAAATAACAAAACCAAAATAACCAAATAAGATATAAGTGTGATTATATCAGATAATTAATAGTAATGTGCCGAACTTAAGAGATTTCAACTTGTTTTATATTTTGTTTTATATTCTTATTTCTATATTATAGATAGCATTGATAAAAGGTAATTGAGCGATTAAATATTTTCATTATATTAAAGACAATAAATTAAAATAATCATATTTATTTGTATAATGGAAGTACGATTTTTGTCAGTCAACAATTAATTCTTTTCAAACTCATATTTAGCTTTGTAAAAGTATGTGTCTGTTTATTTACAAATGAATAACATAAATAAATACGTATGATATTGTATCATATTCACATAATTCTCTAAATTCTATTAAAAATAAATGCTGTAATATTGATATTCCTTACAGATCAACAATTTTTTTTTAAACTAATGGAAGATATATTATATAAAGGCGTGAGTATACTGAATGAGCCTAATTTATTATAAATATATATTCCAATTTCTAATATACACAATCATATATACTTCAATTTTTCACAGATATTCCTTAAAAATTTTTCAATTCTATATATTATGTATAAAATTTAATATAAATTGTCATAGTTTAGATTAACAAAACTGTAAAGAAATGTTATTACTAACATTATTTATGTTTGCACGACATTAAAAAGTGTTTATTCAATTTTATTACTGTTACAAATCAATTCTCTTCAATGATATGAAAAACATAATTTCATTCATTTCACAGCTTTGCATTCGATACGACTTCAAATAATATCCTTGAAAAACGTTAATTCCGCAAAAGTCATCAACATTATATATTTATAAATATATATAATAAAATGAATTTACAGTAATTTCAATGCCATTTTATGTTGCGTTTTTTTTTTTTTTTTTTTTTTTTTTTTTTTTTTTGTAATCAATGCGCACTTATAATTACATCACGTGCGTATCTAAGACACAAGTGCTCGTAAAAATAGAATAGATATTTTATTAGCATATGACAAAGCCTATATAAAGAATAAATTAAAATGAATGTAATCAATGTAGATTTGTAAAATATTTTCTAAAATTAACGTGGACACGTGAAATCAACTTTACATAGAGCAATAATTTAATTTGGTTACTTATAATTTTACGCGCAAAATTAACCATTTTTTAAAATAAGTTTTCACCATTATTTAATCATAATAACAGTAGAATAATATTATAATGTTTTAAAAACGCATACTTCAAAAATATTACATTTGGTAAGATTTTAGGCAAACCTAAAGGGTTGGGCGGCAACTTGATTTCGTTTAAAAATTCTAAAAAGATGAAAAAAATATTTCTAAAAATTTTAAATAATAATAAATTACGAAATATTTTTTTCTTTCAAAAATGCTTAAAAAAAAAATAAAATAACAAAATTACATTTTAAGTAACTATCAATAATGGATATAATGAATATAATGGATACATCAACAATTATATTAAATACAATATTATTTTTAATATTCAATTTTCATGAACGACTATTACATGATAAATTGTATGCGCTTTTCATGAATTATCTATAAAGAATATTATAAAATTTTATTATTAATTCTTACATATTTTTAAATTATTCTTTTAATAGAGCTTTTTAACTTGGAGCGCAGAATTAAATTTTACGATTAAGAATCTCAAATTGTTTAAAACATACTCAACAATAAAAAAATTTATTATTAATTTAATTGATAAAATCAATGTATTTTACATTTATATAATAAAATAAAACTACATTGAAGTAAATAAAGCACTAATTTTCAAACAATACACGAATATTGTAAAAAGTCGATATATGTAAATTACTTTAATATGGGAAAATAGATCAAACAATGTGGATATCTTTAGAATCGAAATTCTTGCATGTTATACGAATATGCTTTATTCCTAATTACGAAATATTTAATTTGAAATCTAAAATTAAGCTTCTAAATATACTTCAACGTTTTAATGTATAAGAAAGTTATTCAAATGTTTTTAGTT